ATATACTTACTTATTCTTGCTCTTCTATAAGCAGGTTCAGACCAAGGCTTCAGTATATATGCATTTTAAATTTGGCGGTTGCTGTTTTACTCTGATATAAATACAGCTATTACTAATAGTCAATATAGATGCCAAGTGTATGTCATATATTACATAATTAACTTAATTTCTATACTAAGAATCAGTCTTCAGTGGATCGGTAGATATATCTAAGTGGTTAAAATCTACCAGAATAGATACCAGCCATATCTAGTGTGCCACTATTTATTTGCTTTAATATTGTAGCGTCATGATGAAGTTGAAACGTTTAAAAAAAATGTCAAACTATAACAATAGAAGACAGAGTAGATATATGTGAGAACCCTTTCGGATATTCGGTTGGATTGGAGAAAGAACTGAACATATGCGTACCACAGAACACATCCGTATGGACGGTGCGGCGTTAACTGTTACTTTAAAAGACACAAATCTATACATTGCCCGACTGAGAATAGAAGCGTGGTTTCTTAAGATTGAAATTGTCTACTTTCGGACAATTAAATTACTTGAAATGAGCCAAACGCGTACGAGCGTGCTCTTCTCGGACCTGGCTTAAATAGAACACCCACGACCACTGTTTTTTCAGTGTGCAAAGCTAAGGCTATCAGTTTTTCGTAGTCGCTACTATTACATCAGGGAGGTGATCAGACGTAAAATCGTGCAAGTATGTTCTATTTTCCGGTTACAATTAAAATCAAGCTCTTAACAACCGAGACGATTTCGTTCCTAGCTAATACGGTAGTTACTACGCAGATAGTACGCTAACACGGAAACAGTATAAGGAGCAGGGTGCATCCTGCTGAATCGGGGCCATCAGTACACTCTCTGCTACAACATATAGCTTTATTTTATTAAGTTTACGTGAGCATCTTCGGCTGTTACCGCAGTGATGGGCAGATGTACAGCAGCTGACAGCCAATGCAAATAGTACACGCAGAGAAACTTGACTGCTCGAGGTGCAGTGCCCGTATCTTTGCTTAGGCAGTTCGCTGGCAAACTAACGTGATTAGGATAGAGTAGGTCTGTACGTGCTACCTGTTTGCCCCCCCGTAGTGCTTGTACGACCCATTTTCATGAGCTTTCTTTCGCCAATTTCATCCACTAGTTCCAAATGGCCTGTTGCCGATAGCGCTGCAGCCCGTGGTAAATTGCTTGCTGCAGAAGCTACCATCAGAACGGGGGAACTTTTTTTTACAGCAAAAAAGAACATTTTACTGTCGAAAGATTCATTCAGTACGAGTCAACTTTGATCATCGACCCCGTTTTCCCGACGCTACTCCCTTGTCCCAGCTTCGCTCGTACGTTCCAGCTAATCAACGGAGATCTTTTACCACCACTATTGTCCCCAGCAGTGGCTGAAAGGAGGACGATTATAAAAGTGTTTGTACGTACATGTGCATGCTTGTATAGCAGCATGGATTAGAGAGCTTAACTAGTTCCTCAGTGATTATCGCAAGCGGCCAGCCACAAAAAATACATATAGAGAGAAAGAAAGTCAAGAAAAAAGGAAATGTGCTTGATCAGCTATGATTTCTGCTCGATTCAGTCTTCGGTTTCGCTGTACTGTCCTTTGGCAACCCTTGGGAGCTAAACAGTTATGTGGGTACGTCACTGATAGAGAAGATGGCCCATTAGAATTTGTCATCGTCTCGATCGTCGGGAGTCATTTCCTGGTCAATAGAGTTATTGATCGCAGGCGGATTATCAGAAATAGAATAGAGAAACTATGCAGATATGTATCTAATTTCCTCTTGAGAAAAAATTAACCCCATAGTAACGTTTATTGATGCGATCTTATAAAAAGAAACGATCTTAGTGCTTACGTAGAATGCGGCACGTTATCACATGTACGAACGTAACAATAACAACCTGCTAGCAACATTTTCCACGGTCAACAACTATAAAGTCGCCGGATCGATAAGAATCTTTCAAAAGGGAATTGCCGAAGAGCATATTGAACGCGCGCTACGAAATGTTGGCCATGCGCAATATAACTAGAAAGAGTTAAAGCTTTTCAAAGAAACACACTGCATAGAATTGTTAATATATAGGTAAAAACAATTTATTCGAGTACATCCTTCGTGTTTTACTTCCGGTACGTAATCGGCTAGGTATTATTTCAGACGGCGGGTTCACAGCATGAAATGAACGGCGTCTGCGCGTGGACTTGAACCTAGACTATCACGTGTCGCTAAATTTAGAAAACACATGCGTTACCCATTGCGCTATCACGAAGACTGAAGACACACACACACACATGTGAAAGCCGTAGAGTGTTATTGTTTTGTCACACATTTATTCGTGAGGAGGCCCAGCCTTTGTAAAATGGCCGGCTTTCTTCCTTTTTTAGACTTTGGGCCTTGCTCTATAGCTTCATAGTGGTCTTTCGGTGCGTGATTCCACAGTAGGATGTGGGATTATATTCAGTCGCGAGGGGGCCTCCGTACTGCTAATAGTTTAAGCGTTACCATAGAGCGCCAGCATATCTGTGTGCAGTATTGTTACACAGACCTTGCCAAATTCTGTTTCATTCTAGCCGTGCGCACAGAAAGACGCAGCCCACCTATCAAAGAAAAAAAAGTGGCGAAAACCCTATGGGGTTGGCTCTCAGCTTTAATATCAAATTAGGTAAATTGGATTATATACACAGATTTATATACGGTACAAATCTACCCATTTACTTTATCAAATAGGTGATCCATTTAGATATTGGTACAGTGGCTTCATGCGCATTTCCATTGGACACCGTTTGCAATAACATTCATCTACAAATACTTCATAATAATATATATGACGTATTTTCCAAAAGATGGGAGCCAATTTTTCCTGCAGTTGCAAAGACCCTAGTTTCAATGGTGACTGAAACCACCAATTTTTCCGTCTAAATTAATTTTTTAAATTCGTAACCTCATATTCTTGTTCCCTTAGTTGGCTTGTCAATGTAATTAAAATTATACAATTTTTTTTAACGCCATTATATTCAAATTAATATTCACTACACGCCACAGGTGACATCCTCTTAGGTTTGACAATATGGAAGCCTAAAACCTTTACCATTTTTAAATAAAGAAAGAAATTGGCGCCACAAATGAATAATACATGCGTCAGCAAAAAACATCAATACGTTTCACCTCGGGACGCTTTTTCTTTCAGTGTTTCACATCGAAAGGCATAGTGAGTTTGTAACATTTCGATCAACAGCACAGGTAAAAGATCGTCTACCGGAAATTCCGGAAACGTTGGCTTCCGATACGCCGATGTTGCTTACAGAGATTCCACCGACATAAAACTTTCTAACTGATACAAGCGGGCTATGAGCAACAGCCTAAAACAGGCCGTTTTTCCGGTCGATGATCCAACGCCTGATCGGACGCCGGGGTCGCATCAGCTTCTCCATGTGGTCGTGGTCGTGGTCGTGGTGGCTAAATCAGGCGGAAAAAGCGCCCACGGGCGGAATTAGCGCAGGTAACAAGGACCCGCAACCGGGTCGCTGCAAAGCATGTGCCATGTTTACAGGATTAACAATCGATGTCGCTGAGCGCTCGGAGGCCGGAAGGGGACTCATTCGCTTTTGTAAGCGGTGTCCACCAGGACCAGAACTGGGGTTGGCAAATCCCTGTGGCTGCGATTCGCGGCATAATGTATGGCTACGCAGCGCAATACAGCCAAATTATAAAAGACGGAGAATTGTTGCCTCTCGAGAAACTTGCGCGAGCAACGCTGCAAATGTTGGTATTACAATAACTTTGTGGCTGCATTTTGCCTACATGTTGTGCCGCCTCTGCTGCTGTTGCTGTTCTCGCGGGAACGTACAACAAGCGCAGATAAAGCAAACGGAGTTGAAGTTGCATGTGCACCCCTCACGCGTTGATTAGTCGACTACCGATCTTTTCTCGGATCTTGTCCGCTCGCTTGTACGGGAACTTGTGTCGTCTAGCAACTTGTTGCACAAATTTCTGGTTTTAGTTAAGTTGGCCTGAACACTGCTAATCACCATAAAGATACTCTGCATCTGTTAAAGTATTTGTTAGACTGATCATCAGGCCTGATAATGTGTGCCTCGCTGTTTGAGTTGTGTTTAGAGACTGCTTCAAGAGTCCCCATTCGGTACGCACGGACAGAGCGATCCCGGTGACTGCGTGATCCTCTGTGCGGATCAGGGACGCAGTACGGATAAGAAATCAGAAGTCACGTCTGTGTCGTCATCCAGTGCGAAAGTTGTTGCTATCAAGCTGCTCTAGTCATTGTGAACAGCGTCAGCTGCATGATTCGCTTATTTAACCTGGCAGACCACCATTTATTCCGTTCGCAGTCCCTGGTTAATTTACCAGGGGACGCATAATTACGAAATGCGCGCCAGAATATCATTTCATAGTATCAGCAGAACGGGGATTGCGACAGGGCTGATCAGGTTGGAGTAAATGGTTTGTCTAATTTTTGCACTAATCTAAGGATGCACCTATATATAAACAGTCGAGATAGGCATGCTGTGCGTTACCAAGAATAGAGCTCCCATAGAGATTCGCTCTAGCCAAGACGATAAGGCGATATTAAGAACGAAATATCGCTAAAACACTCGTGTTACCTGCTTTGTCTATGATTAGAAATGGAGATAAACGCGGTCGTCAGTGTCTTCAGCAGTAGCTCGAATGAAGTGAAAGGTATGCCTACAATAAGTAAAATTTTAACCAACCATCTTTGTCGCCATTATCTCGTCAAAGTTTAATACAATCCGCGTCCACCACTTTGCTCACTGTTCACATCCGCAGCCCTACCTGCAACTAAAAGCATATGAGCGAGTCCAATCTTCCGATCTACGTCCACGCTAATAGAAATACTTTGAGCTCGGATCCGTCGCTACCCGGTATAACTGCAGTCAAGAGAAAGAAAGTCAAGCTTATGTCTACTATTTTTCACCAGTACTATAGTAAAAAACGAATCAATTTGTACCTATTACTTACGTTTACATTCATTTGCATCGCTTGCCGTGGCTCTTGCCCAAGGCCGGTCAAAAAAAAACGCAGCACATCTTTCACAGTCCCTCCCCGCAGTGTTATGTCGACACTCGCACTCTACGTTACCGCCGTCAGTCTGTTCGAAATCTGTGGAGTTTCGTCCATTCACACGGCTTGCGCTGGCTATACCCGCATCCTTTTTCACGCAGCGCGACGCATGGCCGTTGCATTTACATCTTCCGCCGATAGCGAGGTCTGCGATCGAATAGAAATAATAGCTGTTCTGTTGCTTAAGTTCTTGGCCCCCAGTGGGGGCCGAGCTTAGACTGAGGCTATCGTTGCCCGCCCACTCTAGCGAATCGTTAGTCTCACTGAGCACCTCGTCGTCGTTAATGCTGTCGCCCTTGTTGCCGTTAATGTCCTTTTGTCGCGGGAGAATATCTGGCAGAATTTGCTGACTTGGATTGAGCAATCGCCGAAAGTCGATACGAATGTCAGTTGCTGTCACCCAATCCTGTAGTAGTGGACTTTGATCAAACTCGTATGCGGACGGTCTACCCTCGAGGGTTGAGAACGCTATGCGGGTACTGCTCTGTGAATTAGTGTCACCGTTCGGATCGGAACAAAGAGGCTCGTGCTCGTGATCGAACGAGATGTGTCGCGGCGAACGGGCAGGCCGACCATAAGTCTTTTGGCAACTTGTCGAATAGTATTGAAACGGTTGCCAACTTATGCCGTAATCGCTACTTTTGAAAATGGCCAGCGAGTCCGGTTTGCCGGAGCCACAAAACTGCAAGCTGATATAGGTGAGCTCAAATTTTTTGCCTAAAGAAAGCCGTAGAGAGACGTTGCGTTCTTCGCGACTGTTCAAACTGAACGGTTCGGACATCCAGCACGTGAGCTTTGAAGGGTTATGGAGATCGGTCAGTAAGGACGCTGGATGGCCTAAACTAGGTTTTTTTCGGTCGCATACCTGACATGTACGTACTAGCTCCTCAACGCCTAGGGGTGTCCCAAACCCTGGCGGTAAACCCGGAGCCGCCTGTCCTGAGGGCGTCACCTGACAGAGCCTCATCGAAGTCTTTCCGCACGTCGATGAAGCATGCACTTTTCGCTGGTATGCCGCGTTCTCGAAATCAGGTATGCAACGACGCGCTTTCCCTCTTTCGTCCTGGCATGGGTCTACTAGAGCTTGTTCGGCCTGAAATAGTGATATCCACGAGTTTCCCGACGACGCCAAACCAGTATCTTCATCACTTTCGAGCGCGCGAAACTTCTGCGATTTCTTCCGGCTCGATCTTCGTCCTACGGCTTCACTGCACACGCTTAACAGTAGTGCACTTATGACTATATGACACGCACGCATTTTTAAGAACGCGCTGGAACACAGTAGCTCCGATTGGGTGAGCGGGATAGGTTTACTGTGTTAGATATATTATCCTCCGCCTACCCCAATTGCACTTACGAGAACTTGGCCGGTTGATCACCTGCTCTAAGCGATCAACGGATATGGCTGCCGTCGACTTCTACTTAAACAAGACACAACACTAACTGTAGCTTTAAGGCATGTGTACTACTACTGGCACGGAGCGCACGCTACGCTTTGACCTATCTGTCATGAGTGGTCACGCGCCGAGATCGCTTCGACTGAAGTCTAGAGACCTCGTGGTGTCCTCGATCTGAGAAAGGGAAAAGAACGCTTTGGAGAGGGTCGATTCGGGTAAGGGTACGAAGAGCTACGGCGTGCATAAGAGTAGATGAGCCAACTAAGCTACTGTCAAAATATTAGCCAGCTGTGAGCTGCCTTCAGCCTGGCACCGGGTGAAGGCTGATTCGAACATGCGACAAACAGAACCTTTGTCAGTCGCACTTAGAAGCTGTCTATTCAAAAGCGAATGCGGTCCTGTTATCGTTTTGTACGGACCTTTTGCGTTAGGTTTAACATTGTCGTCATCCTTTACTGTGGCTCCCAAGTAGTTTTAACACTGCACATATTTTTCTATCTATTAAATCTCTTTACTTTCGCTGGATTCTGCCTAGTACTAGATTTCAGTGGACGTTAGATTCCTACGAAGCAGACCATTGCGCTCGTCTGACGTTGTGCTTAAAAAAAAACGCGCGTATTCTTCATATCCGCTTTCCTCAAGCCTAACAGTCTGTGAACCAAAAAAAGAAAAGACATATTTACTAAAATGATCTTGATCTACTCAAATATCTTCACTGAGGTCTGCCTCACCCATTTTAGGGTTTGCTCGGTAGTGCCGCTTACATATGCAAATGCATTAGCATATTCTAATATAATAGCAGGCTTGACAAACGACGATAAGCTGCAACGCTAGTGCTATACAATTGCAACAAAATCTGTCTACTATTTTTGTCCTTGGAAAAAAGAATAATGCTGTATTTAATATGACCCATATAATTTCGATTAGGACGCTAGGAATATGTTTTCTGCCGTGCTATTGATTTTTGCTTTTCTCTTTCTAAGACTCAATCTAGAAAAATAATTTTTTTTTTACATATACCAGAGCTGTCACTCCTGGCGGTCATGTCTATTTAATTTAGGCACCGTGCACCGAGGTTATAGGTTTCATTCGGGTCCTAAGTTGTGCACAGACTCATTTCAAATATCCCTTTACAACTCTGCTGGTGGAATGAATGAGTCGACCTTAACGTTGTTATATTCTCGATCAATATCGGTCCATCCACAGTAATCCAAAGGGCTCAAATTTAGACTGGTCGGTGGCCACGTACGCTCATTCTAGGACATGCTTGCCCTCTCAAGCAGTCAATCGTGCCCTAATCGGCTTGTGTGAGCCAATGCATCATCTTGTCGGAAGATGTGTGTTCTCACTTAGACGCTGTATCTATTCACAAGTACGCTATAGCTTGTCGAACATATAGAGCACGTTTTTTTGTGGGTCAGTTGCATTTCTGGAAGAAGTCTGCTACGCCGGTGTCTTCTTTACTAAGCACCGCACTAAAAAAATACACAGTGGCCTGAAGTTTTCTTTTAGCCGTTATAGGCGCGTCTTTAGTATTACGAGTAGGCCAAGGTAATTTCTCCGCTTGGCTTTTTCATCAATAATAACTAGTTTCCAGTTAGATGAATTAATCGAGAAGGACCTGCTGCCTCTCCCTTGAAAAAACAGAGCAGCATTGTCTCCAGAAAGGATCTGTTTGACGTTTCAGTCGAGCACAGCGTAGCTGAAACTTTTGCTACTCTTAATACTTAACACAGTGCGTCTTATTGCATGAAATTGCTCCTCTAGCGCGTTGATCGAAATAGGATAATGAGCAGAGATGCAACTTCAAAGGGCACTAACTTACTGTCGAATCCGCACTATTTTGTTTTGTTGTTGGAACTTGCTCGCGCTTCTTCCGCTGCCACCTACACAGTTATAATGTCGTAGACTGTAGGATCCAAGAGATTTGCAATCTCGGTGAGGGTTGGCCTCACGCGAAAACACGGCAAAGTAGCTGGCCTTCTCTCAAATTCTGAAAATGAAATGCTGTTTTACGTTATGTAGAATTTGTAATCTTACTTTGAACACTGAAAACTAGTTTCTCTATTACCCTAAAAAAACAACTATGCCAGAACCAGCTTGTCCAAATTTGCCAGGATTCAATAGGCCCATTTTGTCTAGTTATATGTATTTGGCGAGTATTTAATAAAATTGGCTTACCTCGGATATAATGAGGGGCGCAATACCTGGTGACTACCAGTCGCTTCTATGCGTTGCTGAACGAAACCTATTTAGCTTCCGTCCATATGATTGCAATATGCGATCAGTTTACTAGAAATACACAGGCTCTAGAAGATTAGATGGGTGTAGTGATCTAGCCTTTGATTTTAGGAAATATAAGGTCCGAAGAGAACGTGCGTTCCAGTAAGCGATAGTTATTTAGATCTCATGTGTTGTCGCGGCAGATCAGGTAGGTCAGAAGTAGGGACGGATAGGAGATTGTTTTGATGAGTGAGCACTATTTCTGTGCCACGTCCTGTGCAAGAAAACAACAGCTAATAAAAACAAGAAGAGAACTATTATAGAAAATAACTACAGACAATAACAACAATAGAAAGCTAGTTAGAAGCGGGCAGAGATATAATAAAGAAGAAACGTTTATATCCCCTATATGGAACAAAAATAAATAAAATGTTAACCATTTCGCCGTACATCAGCAATGCTATATGGGTAATTTATGAAGTTTTGAACACCTAAGAACTTGTACATGGGAGAAACTTACTCAATTAACGAATCCTAGGTTGAGCAGCAGGATGGCTTCAAAACTTGCTTTTTAATTATCTAACATAAAACGTCCAGTCCGTCAAGAAACTTAAACAAGGAACTTGAAGTTTAAAGTTGAAATCGCTATACTTTAAATTGATAGAAGGGCAAAAATACTTATATTAGTTCTTTGTCAAGTTTTCTTAGAGAAACGTTTTATGAAGGGCGGTATTTAATAAGTTGTCACTTCTTCAAGTTCGCGTAAAAAAATACGCGTAATGAAATATGTTCATAATGTTTATCTTCTTAAATATAGAAGTTTAATTAAAATGAGTGGCCTTGATCGTTTACGCGAGCTCATTCTTCACTTCAGGAAACTCAAAACAGGGAGAATGAAGTGTGCTGTTGAAAGGCACATAATATACATACCTAAATTGCTTTATCCTTTTTCGCTATTATATAGTATTGGCCCAGTTAATCGTACGGTTAGATTCTCCCCGGAATAAAACGTTGCCTGTCTCAAAACAACGCTTAAAGCATGTGTTTTATCCAATATTGGTATTACTATCTGTTTGTCTTGAAAGTCCATGTGAGGCGAACATGTTTCCTCCACCAAGAAAGCTTTCCTTTGGCCAAGGATAACATATTGCTTTGCGGTTTCCTCAAGCCGAAAGAATCTGGGTAGATCCTCTCGACGAGAGCGTTCAAGTGCGTCATAAGATCTTCTTTAGGGAAGATCGCGACTCACCAGACTCCCGAACCTTCATGCGTCTAAAAGCCAAGTGTATGCTGTGCATTGTCAAGCAATACGTCAGTAACATCGAAAAAGTGCATAATTCTATTGACCTCGTATTTCCTGCGGATGAGTTACACAGGCGCATCAAAAGCAGTGAAACTTTTAGGGAAAAACGTAAGTTCGCTACGAGTAATGTAAATACAACGTTACGAGTGAGGTAACATTGCTATGATTGAGGGTGGTGAATTATAACAACAGGAACGTATTACAAAATCTAACAAAGTATGTGGAACTCGCTTTACCGCAAACATTTCATTAATGAGTATTGTTCATGCAACAGTTTTATAGAAGGCTGAAGACTGGCTTCTGAAATAATGCGCTCATGTATTGAAAACAAGTCTTTTTAAATTGTATTGGAACATAAATGATCAACCAACAGAGATTCACTAAATCGTTTAGCTTCATTACGTTCTCCCGAACCCGAAACCGGGTCGTCCTATAAACGTTCGGCATGCACGCCTCGCCGAAGGTTCTTAATAAATGTGTGGTTTGAAAATATCTTGAAATCTTATTAAAACGGTCGTGTGGTTGGTGAATTTACAATTTAAGTCTACTGCCTTTACTCCTAAACTTTTATCATCTTCGAGATTGCCAATGAATGGGCATACCAATTCTTCTCTTCTTTATGGGGTTGATGGATATCTATCCCTAGCCCTAAACGATTTTTGATCCACGGCATTGCTATTTCTACAAGGGTTACAGCTATTCTATCCTGTAAATTCAGCTGCTTATTGTCAGGAAGGACGATCAGCACTTTTTTAAGTAATTAGCTATCCTTTTGAATGTTTCATTTTGTTTATTAGATGATTTTGTTAGATATCTTAGTTTTGAAGAGCACGCAACGAACATGTATCATAACCGATGAGACACTCAAGTACTGCCCTTTTGAACGGGCCAATGAAGATAACCAATATAGAATACAGGAAATTAAAAAAAGAGCTGAATCAAAACGCTTTCATGAGATTTTTTGTGGTAGATATGGGTTTAAAAATCAGAGCGTTAAACGGCATCAAATATTAGTTCTAATCCGAAAGTATAAACCGACCGTCATCGCAATAATTTACTGTGTTCACGTGAGACTTCTATGACGGTGTTTCCTTTAAAGCTCAGTATGTTTATAAATGCTCTCATTAAATGTGGGCAACTGGAACGGTTCTAGAGACCTTTGTTTGCTGTTGCGTATAAATATGGGTCGTGTGGATATCAGACCGTGCGAGCGTGGTCCTGATCAGCTATGCTACCTGTATGTAAGCGTTCTGGAATTTAAAAGGTCGACCTGTTATTTGTTAACGAAAATGCCAACACTGGAAAGTCGCTTAGGGGCACATAAGACTTCATTTAATTAAAATAGGTTTATTAGGTTAGCGCGTGATTTTACAAGGTATTACAGTCAGCGCGAAAACGATAATTAACGTGTTTTTGACACCGAGCTATCTTCTTACCGTTAGCTTTAAACGCTATGTTGTGTAGCATTTAGAACCATAGTGGATATATACTTGAAATGAAAGTTTACCATACAAAAGTAAACTACTATTGCGCTATTGTCTCTATGCTATAATAAGGCATTACAAACCTGAAATGTCTTCACAAATATTTGACGGTCTACTATAGCATTGTGAGGTTCATCTCGACTGTTAAGATTATTCTGGGCTTCATTAATCAGTTTGGTAACATTGACACCTTTCCTCTGTGAAAAAATTGATCCGTACTCTCGATCTGATGATCCTTTTGATGGTACACCGCTATTTAACGCCAAGCACAAACAAAATGTTTTTCTCAATTTCCACAGCCCAGATCCGAGTCACCCATGCACCTACGATAACTTCTAGATATAGCTTTCATTCAGACGAGGCTTTCGGAGTGAAAAAACGTCTCACTTGAATCGAGCTATTTTTTTGTATGCTTTGTTTAAAGCGCAATACAGCAGTAGCCCTATTAACACACCTCCATGCCCCTTCATCCTTATGTCAAGTTAGGAGTATTTCCCTTGCAAAAAAAAATGGCTGCTTTCATCTTGACCCTGATCTGCATTAGAGACTCACGTTAGCAAACTTTCTAACACGACGTGTAAAGAATACAGTTCGCATTTGTAAAGCGCATATAGTTCTAGACATAGGGCAAATTTAAGATCATGACCGTTTTGTCTTGCCTAAACAACTAATACGGACACACTCGTACTTTGACTGCTCCTGTAACCATAGCTGTATCTAACTGTGACATAAGGAGTATATATCTGCTTAATCCGGGTAGTTCTTATTGTTGCAACTTCTAGAATTCTGTCTCTTCGCTCATTTCTCAATGTATGATCTGAGCATGGCAATGCTTGGTTGATTCCGTTATTACGGGATTCATCAATAGGCAGCTGGCAGAATTTTTTTAGCCAGCTGCTCCAATGCACATGATTAGCATGTGCTTTGGAGCAGCTTCGTTTGGCCTATTGTCCTTCTAAAGAAGTTTCCTTCCGGGGCACTAAATCTTTTTCTGAGATGGCTAACTTAATAAGAATTACCTGATACCGTATTGTACGTGTATCATCCAGATTCATACGTAAGGACAAACGATTATGGACATACTGACTGCTGCAATAAACTCCCTATTTTTTAGCCTTATCTGGTCACCCTGTGCGCCATCGAATGGCAATCAACGGAGCAACGAAATTGGCAAAGTAGTTTGTAAAAGTTTCTGCCCCAGTAGCTCTCTTAGCCTTATGTCAACTAGTAAACGTTCCACTGCCCTATAATTTTTAGTTCAACTAGCAGGCCGTCGTCGTACTTATCGGAACATCCGCATTGTGTCCACATCACTGGACAGGACATAGTCAGTTAACTAATATATCGAACAGTTCTACAGTTTGTCCTACTTCTATTATGACTTAGGCGAGCGTGTCGTCGTGTGTGTGCGATAGTCGGCAGAGACCTTTAAAGCCAGCGTCAATAAGTCACACGAATATTAGGGCGATAGTTAATTCCCTAGTACCGGCAGCATCTCTCCCGTCGATCGCCGTCCGTCGGTCCCAGAAGCCCTTATCAGTTCTCCCTTGCTGCTGGGGTTCGCCTAATGTTGAACCTCTAGTTCAAACGAGGAAAACGACGAAAGGATTGACCCAGCTATGTTGGCCGCGAAACCCAGCCGTGAACCGACCGTCCAATGTGCGAACCGCTGCGGCCGTTGCGCGCTCATGGACTTGCCGGTGGGTATTTACATATATTATCACCATTCACGCATCCAAGCGTACGAACGAAGAAGGTGTCGGTCGAGCTCGCTTCGAGTGCCATCCGGGTACTGCGAACACCCACGAGCATCGGTCGCGGCCAAGACATCGCGCTGCTATTGGTACATGACGGCCAACGACGCTACCTAGCAGCACGGCCTACTAGCGTTAGACGAGAGTCATCAATGGAAGAGGCTGCCATGCAAGTTTGCTCTAACCACTCCCACAAAGAGGGTTTTGGCCCGCTCAGGGGGAGCCACAAGCAACGAAGGAAGAGAGCTTTGGCTATGGTGCAACCAGGCCGTAGCACCGTGGAACGCAGCGTGGTCCAAACCTCGTTTTCCGTAAGGGTACAGCGGTGCGAAGCACAGCTCATAGTTAGTACCCCGGCAGAAAATAGACAAGCGGAGGCCTCTAGCGTGGGGGATGGAGAACATGGTGACTGGTGACGGTTTTAAAGGGAAGAAGGGGCTTTTTGAGCTTCTTCGCCTTTTGGCCTTCTGTACTTTGTCGTGTTAAGCGTCTCCTACGCTTCGTACACTGAGAGCTTCTCTTCCACAGACATACACTATGTAGTACTTACCCAAGTAAAGCAAGCAAATGTGTAATAGCGAGACAACAAGACGCCCGCTTATATACGCGCGCTAGCCCCGTAGTGGAAATATACGTTTTCGGTCTATTAGGGCTTAGCGATTAGCAAATGATAAGGTCAGAGCGATGAAGGTCGAGTGGGACCAGCGACGTCTGCTCGAGGCATCAGAACACGAGCGAGAAGACGCACCTTGTCACACTAACAGGTAGTTAACGCTTGGCTCTGAGAAAGTTTTGGGTGGATCGGGATTAACGCATGGGGTAAATGCAGACGTGAACAAATTGCCCGCTAGGATAACCCCGGTCGATGAAGCTGATAGCAAAGAGCTGTACAGGAGCATAGTGGAAAGGTAGGCGAAACTTATGTCGAAAGAAAAAAGTTAATCGATAGCTACAGCAATAGATATAGACCATGAGGAAGTTCACGGCCAAGTTTACGAGCAAACCAAATGTGTCAGCGGAGTAGCAACTAGCGAATTATCTTGTGACAAAAGAGTTAAGGAAAGTTTGGCTTGATTTAGCCTCAAATCTGCAGTGGACGACGCGCATTATTTTTTAAAAATGAAACACAGAGCATTTTTACTTTTATTTATCAAGCGCACTACAATTAACAGCTAGCGTAAACAGGCGAGTCGACTACTGTGAAGTTCGTCAGATGATGTTAGGAACTGACGAAAAGTTAAGCGTGAGCTAGAGATTAAGCTTGATAAACTATTGAGTCTGTTGTTATGCTACAGCTTGGTGGAAACATGGCTTTCTATTAGGCACACGTAACACATTGGGTCTAGACGAACATAGATTTTCGAAAATCGAACACCCAGTTGTTTACTACACACTGACTATTTACCACAGTAAGGTTTCATTGATGATTTTATGTAAACGTACTAAGTTTCATAGTAATTTCAGTGTCCCCATCAGGGGAAATGCTAACGACTGAGAATCATTATCGATTTACGTTTGATTATGTCGTCTAACCAAGATAGCACCATGTCAATGTTTATCTTTGTAACCCCGTTGCAAAAAGTGTTAGTTTTCGCATCGGATAAACCGCAGTGGCCATTTCAACTGTACAAAAACTATGCACGTTTGCAGTTTTCTCCTTAAATGTCCACGTCAATACGTCCACTAATAGCAACAAGTATGACCAGGACGATCGAAACGCGCTTTTCGCGTAGTCGTGATAGTAAAAGCTGTTATTCCTCTACTTTGTACTTGGCCTGGCTAGGGAAAACGGCCGGCTCGGTTATATAAATGGTTTGTCTTCAAAGGGCTTAGGTGAATTTGTTGCCGACCTTTATGCTCTGAGTCAACCTGATATCCTCCGAAAGTCCGACAAAATATCCATAGTAAATTAGCTGAATCTCCGAATTCATTAAAAAGGCCGTAATATAGATGACAAGTTTCCGCACAATGGTTTAATTTATTTTTTTCTATACATGAACCGAAGTGAAGAACTGAAATTATTTTGATGTCCTTCATGATTAGAAAGTACGTAACATACTTTCTACAAAAATCGAATAAAAAAACATCGTATTAGGGCTTTCAACACAAAATGACCTAAGGCTGTTTATATATATGCCGCTATTGCAAAAACAAAATGGACGACATTTCCCAAACCCCTGTCCACTCATTATTGCGCCATGTCGTATTAGTTACTCTTCATCAAGCTAAGACATTTTCTTCAGTTCAGTCAGCCGAAGCAGACTATAAGGTCATTGCAACTATCGGTACACGTAAACATAGAACATCATCTTTGTTCGAGTTATATTTCTTGACGTTTGGACGTACAGGCGCACATAGGCGCACCTATGCCTTAGAAACAATGAAAACTGAATCAATAGGTTTTTACGTATTACTATTACCGTTCGTTCTCAATACGAAGTCAGAAAATTTTAGTCATATAACAAACTGGTAGCGTTGTTGTACCGTGGCCAGTTGACTACGAATCGCGGACGCTGACGACAAATTCATACAAGTTCGCAAGGATCCATGGTAGTTATTGTGGGCTATATGTAAGTTATGCACTTACTTTCACTGTAAGAATTTGGCACTTATTGAAAGCTTGGAATAAGACTCAACCATCCATAGACACGGTAAAAACTAGAGAAAAAGTGAATACATATTAGAAAACAAATTACCAAGTACTACCATCTAAAATAAATGCCAATTATATTGAGTTGAGGCCATTGTTGTAGGCCACACCAAGATTATAACTGAGGTTTATTTCTAACAAATTCATTTCGTCAAGGTTTGCCCTCGACCTTTCTCGTTTCTATAGAAAACACATTTAACTGTGCTAGAAAAAGGAATTGTTCTAAATTTCCGCCCTCCTTTATCGAGTAGTTAGTCATATTTAGGTAGACAAGAACGATAGCAGTGGATATACCTGCAAATCCTTTGGGTGACCAACGATGACACATTCGCTAATCGTCCCCGTGATGACTTCATGTTAACACGGCCATGTATGTATACAGAGTACGATAAACGTTTTTTTGAGAGCTTCATATAAAGGTCAGCTGACAATATGACAGTCTATTTTACGCCTGATAGAACAACAATAAAAGCGAAATAAAATGGAAATAGAAATGAAAAATGCTAGTTGGAAGGAGAAATTATCATGCGATTGTTGACTCATGCCGTGTATATCTATGACGTTAACGTTAATGGTGGAAAATGAAGCTGGCAGGAAGTGCAGTATTTGATATAACTTATCTCTATCCTTGCTTTGGTCGCCCGCTGATAATTACTTATTTATAACTCGTTTCCCATCGCCACAAAGACTGGGCGAGCACGACGGTGAATCCGTTCGGTGTTTTCTATTCCCGGCATTAGCAACATCCGCCATCGCAAACCCCCCAGTTGGCAAACCATCTGAGAAGGTAGCTCGCCATACCGTGAAATAAATGCGGTGCGGAATTAGCAAATGATTCCCCAATAGATGAATAAAGGCAATAGAAACGCAATGTGCGGAAATACGAACATCTAGTACCTATTGTATTTTTTTATCTTCGAAGCGTTACGTTAACGCGCTAAAACACTAAAAACGGCAATTATTTATGTAATTCTTTTTGTTTTCGTACTCGATTTGTGCTACACTTTTTAGCTAGGTCTTCAATGGGATTAATGGATATTTTAGCTAACAGATGAATACAAGGGAAAGCAACGAAGTCGAATGAAATGGTAGTCTATCGAGTAATACCGCTTCTGCTTAGCAAGACTTTGCCGGTTTTTTTGGTAATTTGTTGTCTACATTCCCAATTTTCGATTAACCAATCAGTTTTACACTGAGACTAAAAGTGTACAGAAATTTATATCAGAGTATCAAGGAAAAACCATTTCGATATGCGCATCCAATTACGCTAATGCCTCATATTCGATACAGGGCACCGTTAGATTGCTCAGAATAAAAAAAAAACACCCCGTGAAGGACATGATATAACACTGACGTTTCCTTAGCAGCCGAGGATGAAAGCACGGGCGCAAACGTTCCGCACTCGAAACAATAGCACACCTCTCATACCTTCACGTTGCCGCTAAGCGTACGAGCAACTCCCGATCCATCCACCTTTCCTCGGTGCGGGTCAAGCAAGAGGGCGCAAGACAGCTCAATGAAGACAAGCACGTACGCCTATAGCAAACAATTCATAAAAGCCGATATCCTTTTCGCTATGACCATGCTTTCATGTAGCGATATTCACATGATGTCGATGTCTTTCTGTGAGATCTCCGCGTCGTGTACTAAAGGCGGGCCTGAACAAGACAACGGGGCAACGGCAAAGTGGCAAAGCAAAAGGCTGACGACGTAGAAACACCAATCAGGGGAAAGGTAAGAGGGGGCGTGGCCGCTGTGTTGTTCTTCATTATCGAGCTTGTCCTCCGGCTAGTCAGCCTTCGCACCTTTGTGGCGTTGGCAGTGTGTGCCTCTGATCCTGGTGATTCGGAGAAGCCTCTTGTAGAACTGTCGTTCTCGAGTCCAGTTCGACGCCCATTCTCTACTTTCTTTTTGATAAAAGAAAATATCTGCGTAGCAGTAAAATGTGTTTGTTATCAATGGCTCTTCGCCACACTATTGGTATATTTCTATTGTGTCTTTTACTTTCATCTTCCCTCTCTCTTTCTGCTTTAGAGAGCCCTATCTGTGCCCCTTTTGACGCCCCCATTCAGCGCCTCATTTCGCCTTCTCCGAAAAGGGCGCCTGTCTATCAATCTTGATAAAGAATAGCAAAAAGAGATGGCACAAACGAACATCGGGTGGCGAATATAACCGAACTCACCAAACTCGATGTTGGCCGACGGTTTACTAGCGTAGGTTCTACAAAGATTCCCTAAGGGCCTTAAGTATTGATTCCTCTCATTTTCTTTCTCGTCAACGAGATGGTTTCTCTTTCGTCTTGGTTTCTCTCAGTCACTAGCGGTGAGCCTAGCTTATAAGCTTGTTGGTGGACTAGTGGCCTGGCAGTGGCCATTTTGTTGAGCTCCGTGGCCGGCGTGGAAGGCGACGCATCCACTTTGGCTATGAGTATCGTTTTCGGTTGACTTGGCCTAGTTACCTCGGCCCGATGAAGTCTACTGAACGTAAGACTTTAGTACTCGGTAGGCCCTATCCGTAGGCCGCACACTATACCTCCCTAATGAGGTTCTTAGTGACGCAGACCCCTAAGCATTGTGACATTCATAAGAGTACTGAAAGGGCTCTCTTACTTTCGTTTTCTCTTTTTTGGCTGATTCTGTGAAGCCAGCATTGTCATTGTGGCCGTTGCCGCTAACGGCATCTAGCCCCCTCATGGCTCGTTTTCACAGTTTGCTATTATTGTGCTATTATTATTGCGAGAAAACGAAGGGAGGATTTCTTTCCTGGAGCCTTACTCATCAAGCACCGCACCAGGCGATTAAGTGCAATAGCGGCGGTAGTAACGGATACAAATAAATGAAAAGCAACATAAATCTAAAGACGTTATGGTGAATTGAATTCGAGGGATATATAGACACATCGGTAAGGTACAAAGGAATTGATGTCACCGTAGCGCGGTACGCCACGCCGCCTATTTATCTGAGTCAATGTTATTATACCTCCTAATTTGCTTTGTTTTCGGACATAAACGGTTGTAAATACGATGGGTAATAAGATATAACAGAGAAGTGCGGCATAGCTATAACTTAACTTAAAGAAGCTGTTCTGTTTTAGAAGTAATATTAAGGATATACGCATCGAATTAAAGGCTCATATCGCCATGCCAATAATATGAAGACAGGCCACTCTGTGACAATTAAACGAATGTTTAGGGCAAAGTAAGCCCTACAAAACAAGGCCAAATTCGACCTGCTTGAACATCGCTTATTGAGAACAGTGTTACCTTAATATATACAGTAACGTAAGACGCTATCTTTAATATTATTTCTTTTCAGATTTTCTTATATACTTTTAGGTATTATAACTTAGTAAATATTATTTACTATTATTAACATAACAAAGTGTATTTCCGTTCATACTTTTTACAACTAGAGCAAAAAAAACTTGTGAGCCAAACGTGTTATCTGCTTGATTTTGCATAAGAGGCTGGAGCTCTGTTAGATATCTTTTGTCCCTTCAGTGGCATTCCCTACAAAATGTCTAAAAATAATTGATACCAAACTTGATACCTTTAGCTAGAGATACTAACGAGCGGCACCAAATGAGTAAGTTAAATGATGTTCCTGAGCCAAGCACAGAAGATTGATCAACCATTAACTGTGTGATTTGTATACAGCGTATCATTAATAACTGTTATGTTGTCTGCTCGGTGACATCTGCCTAAGGGCTGTTTGCCATGATAGAAAATTTCGCTTCAGATTTTCATGTTAGTTTAGTGGCTGGTTCAATGGTTAATGGTTCAAAATTTATCGGCTCTCCGAGTTTCATCTTCCGCCGAAAGTTTTAGAACTGTTAGATGAAACAGAGGCACTATTCATCATAGGAAACAATATCGTCAATATGCGGCCATTGTCATTGACGTCTTCATATGCATAGAAACGGAAGTGCGCCCCCATACAACACTTTGTACCCTACTCTATCTAATCACCATGATAAACGCTACTAATTTGGAGCTATTAACGTTAAGCTGTACAACGCTGCCATAGCTTCTCGATTGCTTTTGTAATTCATTGTATCCATACAGACGCAGTACCCCTCGGAAGATAGTATGACTACTGCGCGCCATATCATTTCTGCAGCTTCGTCCATCACAGAGTCCTTCTTGTACCTGCTACTTTTTTCTCTCTCTGTTTTCTGTTTCGTCTGCTGTTCTTCTGATTCTCCTACGAAGCGCTTTGATGAGCGTTTTTCTGTAGAACTAGCTGGCGCGCCTTGCTTGCTCCGCCTTATCAAAACCATCATTATCACGACCATAGTGGACACATGGTTAGCGAAAGACAGTCATTTCAACGCTGAAGACTCCTCTTCCTGCTGCCGCCATCAAACACGAACACCTCTCTTTCTACTGTTAATCATCTAACGTCTTGCGTTTTTCAGTAACAACTGTCCATAACTACCTTTTATCCGACTGCCAGTCGCATTAGCGTATCGAAGCGCCCGGTAGCTGGTAGCGTCCGCGCATCGATCCTTCCTGTATATACTAGGGCCTTCTTGATCCATCTTTTTCTCCCTGCTCTCTGTGCATATATGCGTGTACGATGCGTTGCTGTTATTGCTACTGCTCCTGCTACGAATGACTTTTCTCTGAAGCTAAGCTCAGCAGAGGCATGAATGACCGAAAAGCTAATACCAGCGAAGTGTAGCGTCAAATCGCCAGATTAGCAAAGGCCAGTGAACCTATCAAACTGAGCTCAAGCGAACTCGATTGTACCAATCAGGACTTTAGCACCTATGCCAGAATGAATAGGCCAGCGACTAGGCAGGAATTCGTTCATCCGTCGACTAATATTTCACCTCGTTTCGCGGTTCCTTTACGCCAGCTTCATCATTGTCGTTGTAGCGTTGAGTCGCCATGCATAGCGCATAATATCGTCGTTCTAACATCGCTGCTACACTTGCTAGAGGACAAGCACATAGGATAGGATTGTTCGTGAAAGATAGACAGTAAGGCACACAGAAACACACATTTCATATATGTACTCCAATGATAATGACTAGCAGCATGGCTTCATACAAAACTTTGTACAAAAAGAACTGTATCTTCCCCATTACGTATTGCACAGCTTCGTCTCAGTCGGCCTCGCCCTACTTTCCCCCGAGCGGCGTCCCATTTGAGAATAGGACATAAGGGGACCGGTGCGTAAAGCGAGAGGATAGAAAAAAGCGTACGAGAGGAAAGCAGAGCCTTGGAATATCGTCGATTTCTCTTTAATTGCTTGCTCTGCTCTTGTTAGAAAGTAAGGTAAGTACATAATATATATGAATAAAATAAGAAAGTTAAAAAAAAAGAAAGCTTACGTGGCCTTACTGTTCCCTCAGCAGCAAACTTGCTTCTAGTTCTGTCCCACGTTTCTAGCACCCAAGACATTTCTCGTTGGCATCCTCTATCCATAGCCTTACAGTAGTTCTCCATACCTCGTAGCACTGCGTGTAACCGTTTGTCAGTGAAGGAGTGCGTGAAAGAGAGTCAGAACGTTCATTTTGTAGGTGCAACTCCTATGAACAGGCCGAGATCTGGACTTGTTGTGAGCCGCTCCTTGGTGTTACCTCAAAGGCTTTGCTTCGTCTTGGCACGACCGCCTTTCGTCGTGAGTAAAGGATAAGATAACAAGAGGATAAAAAAACAGGTCTCAGAGAGAGTCCTACTAGGCTCTTGCCGGGCCACCTCCAAACCTGTTAATTAGTCGTTTTTGCCTTACTTCTTGATCATAAGGTCAACGAATTTGTTACAGCCGCTAGCTCAGCCCGGTTGACTGCGTGCTTCTACCAACAAACAGCAAAGCAATAAGAAGAAACTTTTAACACTTAGAATAGGTAGTTTTTGACGGCACATGTGATATAATCATGACCTGTTAGACAAAGGGGCCTAACTTGGAAAAATTGCAGAGGAGGGAAACGTAAGCAAGCAAAATAAAACAAAATCAGGGTCACCTTACTGAGTGGACAGTAAACTCTGTGAAAGCAGTTTTATTTTAGGAGTTCAACTTTGACAACTAAAAGTTTCTCGGTGCCAGAATTGAAAAAATCACAATAAACTCTCCATCATAGCTTTAATGTAATATCTAGCGTAGTTAGGCCCGAAATTCCTAGGACTAACTATTATAAACTACACTAAACAGATTTACATATAAAAGCATCAGCATATTAAATAGTCGTCTACAGCGATAATAAAAAACGAGTTTATAAAATAGAGTATCAACGGAATGTCACTGCAGGCAATACCTATTTCCCTTGAACGTATTTCTTTACTGGGCGAACGCTGCGAAGCACGATACTGCAATTGGCGCTGGCCAAACGAAAAAGCTGCTGAGAAATATCCAGTTGACCGTTACCTCTTTCCTTTAATGGGGAAACAGCGTGCCTGTAAACATATGTGGACTGAAGTCCTGGAGCTATAATAAAGCTCCCTTAACGCAATTAAAGGTGTCTGCTTTGCCATGGAGGTTGCCCCGCAACGAGGCTTGGCATGGCCTGCATAATGTGTTCTCAAGTGAAAATCCTAGTTACGGCGAAAAGAATTAGTCGCTTCGATGGAAAGTTGTGCTTTTCCCTAAAGGCGACTTTGTAACTTCGGGAACTGTCGTGCTGCGTTCTCCAATTAGGCTTTCTGCGTTTGTTGGGCGATTCAGCGCTGCAAGTAACTATGGAATAACGGAAAAAAAAACTGCCTAATAACCTTCGTTTTGACAACTTAATACAACGACAGATTAGTGTTGGCACTAGTTTGTCTTTGTATTCGGCTTCCGTGCAAGCTATCTGGAATTTCTGCCATTAGGAACGTCCTGCTTCGGGGAAATGTAGACGCCGTCAAGGGCTCGGACGCGCATAAGTCGTAGATACCTAGCTATAGCTTCTAATATCATATACAATAAACCACACTAAAAAAAAGGGTCGCTACGAAAAAAGCTGAAACCTCCGATGAAAAATTAGATATGTAGTCGATAGTTGAAACATTTTAGATATATGAAAGGAAGTCATTTACTCTACCAAGAATCTCAGAAACGCGTAAATTTCCGGATAATTAATATCTACATATATATACGCAATAGTCCGAAAGTCTTGATCGGAATACTATTTTTCCTTAGCGGACCTTCAATTTAGAGTGTCCCACAATCGCCGCATCTAGAGCCTCATTGAGCTTCGCTAGTGCGGAAGCCGTACACTGTGCATGCTCAGTCAAGATAAGCTATACACAAACACTCACATTGTTCAAATGAGTACGAAAAAGTTTGCCGAGTAAATAGTAATTAAAACTATACAATCAAGTATTAGATTCATATCTAATATTGATAAACAAGACATCTAATAGCATACGACGAGAGAAAAATAATTTTCTCTCATTAATTTATTGATTGATGGTTTTATTATTAGTATATTTTGTCCTTCTCACATGCCTTATAAATTAAACGCAATGTGTGTATGTTCGTCAGGTGTTCAATTATGTACACGTGATGCTATTTACACGTCGTCGGGCATCCTTTTCACCCGCGCTCGCATTGCTCTTAGGAATACTCGGCAATGGTTGTTAGAAGCCCGCTAGTTTTCTGTTTTCCTTCCAGATACATTACCGCCCCTGCGAGATGGCTGGTAGCAGCGTTAGGGCACCGAAACTTGACAGCGTATTCTTTTTGCGAATACAGTGTTAGTACCGATTGCCCTTCCGGTCTATTCTTGTTTTTCAGGAACTAATTAAACACAATTAAATCTTATATTTGGCGTTCCGGTACAGGACAGCTCCTGGTGGGTGAGTGAGGCGTGTGCTCATGCTAACTGTATGAGCAAAATAATTTAGACAATCAATCAATCAATCAATCAATCAAACAGGTCTGGTTTACCACCTGTTGCGTATAAATATGGAAACTATTTTACATTTATTGTTCGTTACTTCGTAATTGCTTGATCTAAAGTTTGGCCACGAGTATGGACGCCATAGAGTGTATATTATACAATACATTATACAATACGGTATAATAGTGATGGAGCTGGCATGATACTGAATGAACTATTATCAGATTTCTATTTCTGCTATTATCTGCAGGTAGTGCATCAGCTCAGATCAAAACGCTTCAGACGCTTTCTAGCTCCTCACTGTTATTTAGTCCGTAGTTATAGACATGTGATCAATACGAAGGGGACATGTACGGCAACCGCAAGCTAGATGATAACAGTCTAATTGTAAATAATCTGTTACCATTCACCGTCAGTGATTTCTTATTGATCGGATCAGCCACCATAGCATGTTGTCGCCGAGAATTTAATGCATCAAAGTCCTCCAGCTCCGCGTAAGCACCAAAGAGGTGTGAAAATGGGGCACTGCCTTAAGTGACCACAAACAAAGATCCGTAAGTTCTGTTTACATAATTGGAATAGCGTCCACTTTGCATGACCTGACATGGTTTATATAATCCAGGTTTCGATGTGCTTGTCCCTGTATGAGTAAGGCCTGGATTTAAAAACTGTTGCATCTTCTTCGTCTACGTGCCATTTTGCGGACTGTCTTCTCAAGTAGCTCTTCGGTCTCTTTAACGAAGCCGTCCGGGTCAGCCGTAGGGCTTAATCGGCCCCCGTGCATCTGCATCGTACCTAACGGAACAGATAGATGCACAGATATAAGGTTAAAAACGCTCGTTCGTACCTAGCCCACATAACCGGCTGGTCCAGTAGAACAGATGAGCATTTAAGGGCGTATATGAAGTGTCCGTCTTACGCAGATATTGTTTTTTTATTCGTTCGAGGTCGGATCTCGAAGTCCTGCAAATATCTCATGCATATGAATTAATGCAGTTTCGTAATCATGTGCTCGTTTCCCTGAAACGTGCGCTTCAGTCGATTATATTCAATATACTATTTATAGCAGACTTCTAATATTTTTTACTATTTAACGTTAAACCCCTAACCATAAAGCCAGCGCTTGAAATTTTGCAGTGACGAATTAAATGGCACCAGGTTTAGTTTGTTGTTAGTTGTATTTTCACGTATAATACTATTGCCAGAGAACTTGCAAAAATCGAAAGGCAATTCTTGCTTAAAATCATCAATGCTTTACGGATCACCTTCTCCACTTACCTAGAATAACGTATGTCGATTTCGTTTTAATATGTGGACATCGGCATTTAAGATCGGCAGAAGGTATCCAAAGATGTTGAGCTCCCCTGCGGACCTTATGGGGGCCACCTTTAAACACCTTGTTGACTTCGATTGAGAATCGGGCCCAGTTGCCGAACGTCTCTCGACTCTGAATGGTCGCGCGGATTGCTAAAGAGAGAAAACATAAGATGGGTAAAGTAAGTCGAATTTAGCGTCATCCATAAGTTATTAATATGGGCCTTCCGGACTGTTTCATATATATCGGCTTGCACACTGGCTAGCACGCGAAGGTAACTAGTTCCATGTTTGGTTCTTACCAAAATCCCTTTTGCAAAATGTACTAAAGGTCAGCTCTTGCAAGCAGCGAGGGCATTCGTCCTCGTCTTCTTCCGAATCGTCAATGTCATCATCATCATAATCATCATCAGCCGGTCCGTCGGCAACGATCGTCGGAGGTTCTTCGAACTGAGGAATGCCTGCGATCGCAATAGGGAGCATACATGTAGATATGTAGGGTGCTAAACATGGATAAAGTGTTTAAGCATATCAAGAAATATAGTCTACTTTGACAACCTGTTTATCAGAACTGCTCGAGTGAAGCCGAATGTGTACTTCATCTCAATGTATGTCCAGCTAGCTGGCACTCCTAAATACTCGCTTTACCACTTCGTTATACAAGGATATAGATATATATCACCGATGTCATCATGTCATAGCTACTTACGAACGCATGGCGCGATCGGTGACCGTGACTGTTGATACCCCCTCTGGCAACGATTACACGTGAGTCCTGTGACACCGTCTTTGCACGGGCATTGTCCTGACGTCATGTTACAGGTGCGCCCCAGAGATCCCACCGGATGGCATTCGCACGCTTCAATCAATGTACAATAATTTCATATACATATATTAAAATCTAGCTGTCCGTTGAGCTGTTAAATTATCTAATTTCATATAAAGATTATATCCGAACGGGTGATAAACATTTTTCCAGCGAGTCAGGCTGAAATAGTTCGCAAACTCCTTCGTGTGTCTAAGCCAAAGATCAAGGACGAACGTGCAAGCTTACCTTTACAGGCTCTTCGATGTGTCGCTGGCAAATTGCTATCTCGGTAGTACCCTTCCCGACAGTTGTGGCAGTGCCGTCCGGCAGTATTATGCCGACACTTGACGCAGACTCCCCCGCTTCGGAAACCTGACAGTTTATATAGTTCCATATTGAAACGGCACACACGGGAATGGCCGTAGCATTGACATGCTGCGAATCGAGAGCGGAAACGGATACACAATCATATTAAAAAATGAGATGAGATACAATGCACACACGACTAAAAACACTCGAAAAAGGCTCACGTCATAATTGAAGGGTTGCGTGAAAAAAACAAATGGTAATTCTGTTTGCTTTTTAATGTATTGCATACTTACCCTAAGTTTGACTAAAGCTCGTAGGCACCCATGTCGGACGCAAATATCTACAGGCCTTGTATGATTTGGACTGCATACGTGCATGGCTAAATGTACTATTCGCAGAGAACACCAACCCGTCCCTACCGTCGTTTTATATTCTAACCTAAAAATTCAGACGATATCGAAATCTAATGATAATTTGCATTATCCTCTCGACTCTTCCTTTTGTCCAGTTGTATAACAATGTAATCTTATAGCATGCGAAAGATGTACGTATCTTTCTGTCGCAAGCCCGTAATAATCGTTTTGCTAAAGAACACACTGTTTACTTTCTTCCTCGTAGCGGTATTACCGTTATAGTTGAGTAGGCCTTGCAACCTGCTGTTTCTTGGTATAACCGCTCCTTTCTCTAATAGAGATGCGGTAGTAGAAGTAATGGTAACGCCGCCTCTGTCCTGTCGTTCTACGAGCATTGTGCCTCCAACGTGACTCGAGTGGCGTGATCCAGTAGCGACATAAAAGCGTCAAGGGCTTCTACCGGTGTTCTACTGTCTAGCTGCCTCCTTCCGCAATTCTTGAGCGAATGTTACCCATTCAGATCAACTAGCCGTTCCATTCCCGCTTTTTCCCTTTGCCTTACCTTATATATGGCGTGTGCTTCTTCCCCAATTCACCCCCCTTGTCGAATTCTCACAACGATACAACGCTTTAGCGGCATCAGCCAGCATCGGCAGGAGACCAGCACCGCCACTAACGGCGCAACAATGCTATCAAACCAGCGAAGCAATGCCACGGGACAGACAGACGGCGACCATCCGAATCGTCTTGGCCTAGAAGGCTAGCGAAAAATGAGGAAAGGAGATAGGGAGACAGACAAAACATGCAAAATAATCTCGAAGTACGCCGGTGCAGCAGCAGTCGCTGTGGGAACCACTACAATTTAGAGCAGGTCTGTCGACGTGGCGTGCGCCGCTTCAAGGCGGAACGCGCAGCTCGAACATAGCGAAAAACCCCCTTCTTGCTTTCCAACCCACTGAATCTCCATGGCCACAACATCATTGCCGCCGCTAGCATCTAAGAGCGAATACGACTTTGCTATGGCCTTGTTCAACTGCTTCCAGAAGCCTGCAACTTGCACTCTTTTAGCGCTCTATTCCTTGATTCGTTCAGCAGGCCTTTCGCTACGTACGTTCGCTATTCGACCGCACTTATTCGAATGGGATCGAATAAAGCTACATGCAGGAAGTACCCACCTTTGAGAATTTGTCCCTGTCTGCTGTGCTGTGCTGTGCTCGCCAGCTCGCTGGATCTGGGCCAATTCACGGTCCCGATCTTCATTAACGTCCCCTTGCGCGATTCCTGCCAGAAGATCGCAAGCCGCGTAGCATTCGGTTGGTAAACAGAATGCCGCTGCTTGGCTTACTAGCAGTTTGAGGTAAAGGCTCACTAGCGCCAAGGGGTAGCGCCGACGGCGAATGCTGCGATGGCGGCGCAGGAGTGTCTATTCATCCCTCAAGGAACATGCTGTCTAGGGGGTAAATAACAACACGAAGCCACTGGATGGAAAGTCGTGTAGACATCACGCAGTAGGGCTATACTATACAGGAATTGCCCAAAGGGCTGATTGTACTTCCGCAGGTCGAAGTGGGACAAACCGGTTCGCCCGCTGTGTTGCCTTTTGTCGTATGCATACATTGCTGTTCAATGTACGCTATACGTTAAACACTGTACGGCGGGGTATAAAAAATAAAAATCCGTTTTCAATCGGAGCACCACTGCCACCATACGACTATGACGTTGTGATGTTGCTTGCAAAAAAAAAGAAGCCTTGCCGTGTTCCGCCTCGTTCATATGTATGTCGTTCATATGGCGATTTCGGGAACTATAGGCAGAGCTGGTAGTCGTAAATGCCATTAAGTTGCTCAATTGAACTGACGCTGGAGTCGACTGAGCTACCTTTGTAGGTACTCAGTCGACTAATACCTGATTGGAAAGAGTATGCGTTGAAAAGTACCATGATACGTTTTACCAAACGATAGGATTGCTAAACAATATCAAATTAGTTAGCAGTTGTAAACCTTCCCACTCTCTTATCATATAAATTTCCACAAGGATTCATTTGCGTCCGTTAGTTATCAATGACAACTTGGAAACTATGGAAAAATAAAACGTTAAGATATTTTCATCTTTCGTTTACCTTTAAACAAAGAAAAAAAAAAAGCGCGGTAAAGAACATGCGACTTCAGGATTTTGTTGCATGCAGTCTTCGTTCACTCCGATAATTATGTGAAGATAACAATTATAAATTGCCGATCACCTAATTAATTTTATATTTTTCTTTTTCTAAGCCGTTGATAAAGGTAGCTTAAGGAAAATTCCATTAATTTCCCTTGTTTGTGCTAAAAAAACAGAATATTTTTACAAATAATTATATCCACTCACAGAGTCAGAGTATGTCCGTTTATCATTAAGTTCGCTGAAAGAGACACGAAATCAAATTGCTAAGTGATATTTGCACCCCATGATCTGTCAACGAACCTAATACATACTCCTGCCCAATGGATGATAACAATACTGACAAAGGTAACTAACTCACGAAGGTTCTACACAGTTCGCCCCCTTTCTCTTGCCCTTTGTTTTGGAAAAGTAAAAATCGTCGTGGTTCATATATATATATATATATATATATATATTTGACCAGATACACGTTTGACTAAAAACAAAATAATCTTGAGATACGAACTGTAGTTACATGCAGCCTGGCATAGTTCTTCTACTGCGTATGAAGACTTTTTGACACTGTAAGCGATAAAATGAGAAAGTGTCGATTACTGGTAGATGTTGACTCATATAGAAAACAGCATCAGTCGTTTCTCTGTACACGATCCACGTGAACACGTTTAAGCCTGTTTAATGCCGATGAAATCAAGAGCAAATCAGTATTATGGTGTGTACCGCATGCGATATATAGCGCGCGATATATAACAGAATCGAACAGAAATAAAATTCCTATAAAGAAAAACAAGTTCCTACATATGACTTCGTCGAACGGATGGAAGCGGCTCAGCTTTCCTATGTCTTGTTAGATGGCGGCTGCCTTTTAATGTCCTGCTCTCCTGTTTATGAAAGTCGCCAGTGTACGGTAGCGTCAATATTGTCCCTGCTTATGTTCCGCGTATTGCTTGTGACGCAACATTGCTATATACATATATATATATATATGCCTGTACCGTTCTGGCCTGAGAGTGTGCGTTTGGCTCATACTGTTACCCGCATTAACAGTCTGCTAGCCAGCAGCGCCGTAACCTTTTCAAAGCGTCGTTCAACGTCCACGCGGTTCTGAAGCGCTGTATTTTTTGTGTATATCCTTTCCCTTTTTGTTATTCCTTCGGGTCTCTGCGCGAGTTCATCGGCGCCTTTTCTGTTTCTATATTTCACTTCGTTTGATCCTCCATCCGCCGCTGCTGCTCCTGCTGCTACTGATATTCTAAGCTCGGCTTGACAGCAGGTGGCCCTTTGGCTGCATTGTTGACTCGTTAGCAGCGACTGGGCCGCGAAAAACGCAGGCCGCGCCCATCTCTTTGATTAGTGCTAGCAGCCGTTCAAAGTATGCGTAGGCTACGTCCATTTCGTAAGGACGGCACCGCCTCGTCGCGCGTACGACATCGGACGATCTACGATCGATAGCTCCCACGTCAAACTGCTGCCTATCGCTACTACCAGCCGTAGCGCTGCTCTTGGAATTCGAACAAACCGCCAGATTTGAACATTAATATCGGTAAAAGCAGGAGCTTCTAAAGGTGTTCCGCTCAACTAGACACACAGGCACAAACTGGCTGACAGACGTTTCTCTTCTCTCCTGAACATTTCTCCCTTTCTCCTTCCCTTCCCTTCCTCTTTCTCTTCCTCAATCACTGTATCTATATTTTACTATATCTCGGCGTCTCTCGCCGTTTCTTTCGTTTCGTCTGCTACTGAATCAGGGTAAAAAGGAGCAAGTTATGATGGGAAATCGTCGAGACACATTTTAATAAAGAAAGGGTATCGGGTCACCCGAGCTGAAGTGGTTTCGCCACCAGTTGGGGCAGTGGCTGCCCTGCGACCAATAGATGGTTGAGACCAATTATCCAACAAGCATCCATGAGGCATCCTCGATATCTACACTGCCCCCTGTGTCGTATATCGATCGACGTAACGTACATTGGCATTCACTTGACAGAGGCGGGCCAGCATCCGACGTGGCGGTAACGTTAGATCTACACCCAACGGCGTAAGTGATCATACGCTGATGCAGATATCCGGTCACTGCAGAGAGAACAGCAGTGGCAGCAGCGAGATAGTCCCAAACTCTACTTTGCCGTGCCGTTGCCCCGGTACATCTTCCCTCTAGCCGCAGTGCCTAATATTTAGTGTTCATCCAAACTCTGTTGCGTCCCTCGTCACAACAGTCCTGGACAGCAGCAGCGGCATTCCTTATACTTTACTATTCCTTTCTCTTTGGTACTCATCGTTCAGTCATTCGTGCCTCGGACCAGTTCTTCGCAAGCTTGCCTTTTCTAACGGAAATTACGTATCAGCAAGCTGACAGAGCATTGCGGCGGCGGTGAAGGTAGGCTGGCTTAACTGGGGCCTTGCGTCTGCTACTAGCATTTGGAGTTTATGAAGATGTCCGGATAGACCTTCTCTTCGGTCTCATAACTGCCAGGCGATCTGAGGTTAGGTTGGTCTAACTCAATAACTCGAAAATGTCGTCAAAAAGTAGCTACACACTTATGGCATAATCATACCCCGATGGTAAACATGACATTTCACGTCTGCTGCGTACAATTCCGCTGCGCAGTATCGTACATC